GCTCCCCCGCGCACGGCCCGGCCGCGTTGCGCGGAGCTGTCCGCTAGCATCACACAGAACGGGCAGCAACCGGCCGTGATCCGCTGTGAATGATCTGCTGTTTGCGAGGGTGGATTTGCCAAAACTTCTTAAAGCAAAACTGCATTAATGTCTTCATTTAAGAAAGCTGAAGCAACACATGTAGGCAGTGCCTTCCTATCGCCACATAAATCCGATGTGCTGCCCACCGTGTTCAGCACATAATGAGAACACAGAGAGGAGGATCTCAGCACAGCAGCTTGCTTTGGCGGGAAGAAGGACCACTGTGATTCTCCTCACGTTTTGTTGGGAAAAGAAAACCCAACTTGATCCCAGACCGCAGCACAGAGCTCAGTCCTTTGCTAGACAGCGTGAAACCCCAACAAGTTCCTGCTAAAGTAATTTTAAGCCTATCAAAAAGCTCATGCCCCCATTACACACAACACAGGTTAGCCAGATAATCACTATAAGAGTGGTTTTTCAAGTTAAGAACTGGAAGAAGCATACGGATGTTTTACACAGCAACAGAGCACCCATTTCCAAGTAAATACCTGGAAAGTAGCTTGCCTGATTTTGCAGTTTTATTAAGCAACAGAGGATACTGTAAGAAGCCTAGAGTTAGAAAAAGTCTACTTGAAATGGATTTCTCAAGTGATCCTTATGTTTAACCAAGTTGCTTCAATTTTTTTTCCACTGAGTATACAAAAGCTTGAATACTATTTGCTGAGAAAACTTCAACTACAGATTTTAAGCATCCCTTTTTAGATAAATTGAGCATAAAGTTTCAAAGGGTGCCAAACACTGTCCTTATATGTTTAAAGTGCATATCCTGTTTTTACTTTTTCCCTCAAACCATTATTTTTACTGAAACTATAGAGAAGTCATTCTGCCCACTGCATTTTAACTTTAAAGAAAATGAGTATGTGTAGGGCCTACAGATACAGCTTATTACTCTACTAAGAACTACAAAAATTAGGCTTAGAATAAAATCATTCCATAATGCTGTTTTTTGTAAGTTTGAAGTTCACTGCTTGCTTAGAGCTTCACAGTTATCTTCTGAAGCTGTCCATCAACACAGTTTCTTTAGATGATACTCTTGCACATTATTGCCATCCCAGTAAAGGTATATGTGTTTTTGCAGAAAGCAGAGAAATATCACTGTGCTTTGCAGAGGAATGGAAACAGCTTCTAGGATATTATCTTCTGTGAACAACATGGGGATCCTTTAAAAAAGTGTTTACATTTGCGTGCATTAAGCTACTATTTCCCCAAAATATTACACAGACAGATGGGGCACAGGAGTGAAGCAGATGTGACATGACCACTGCAAACTGTCCAAGACGAGGTGGGAAGGAGCCATTTAAAATGATCTCATTAAGGAACCACTATGTGTCAATGGTTTGACCAAACGAGACAGTATGGAAATTGGGAGATAGTTTAGTTTGCAGAAAGGATTATATCCAGTATCAGTTACCCAGGACGACATGTCAACTTAATGCAGACAAAGTCTTGGCTAGCACAGTTAACCACACTTGACTCTGTGATGCAAGAAAGGGCAGAGGCATGCTCAGGTGCTTGGTGGCTTCCCTTTGCTGCTGGTAGCCAGGAAAGGTTTGTTAAGTGTATATAGCTCCTTGACCAACTGCAGCTGATGATGCAACTCATGTTGTTACCTACAGCTCGTGAAGAGGGAGAATATAAAAATCTTGCAAGAAGCACAGATCAGTCAGAGGTTAGTGATAGAAGTAAATGGAAACAGCTAAGGAAAAAATTGTTACTATATTGTACAGTTGACTCTTGTACATTGTTTCCAAGATACACAAATAGTTTATTGGTGATACCTTGCCTCTCCCTGTGTCGTGGTTTAAGCCCAGCCGGCAACTTGGTACCACGCAGCTGCTCGCTCACTCCCCCCCTTTTCCTTCCTCCCCCCGCTCCCGGAGGGATGGGGAGGAGAATCGAAGGAATGCAACTCCCACGAGTTGAGATAACAGCTCTCCAGTAACTAAGGTATAATACAAACCACTACTGCTACCAATAATAATGATAAGAGGAATAACAAGGGAAAAGGACACAACCGCTCACCACCCGCCGACTGATACCCAGCCCGACCCAAGCAGCGATCCGGGCCTTCCGGGTAACTCCCCCCAGTTTATATACTGGGCATGACGTGCTGTGGTATGGAATAGCCCTCTGGCCAGTTTGAGTCAGGTGTCCTGTCTCTGCTTCCTCCTGGCTTCCCCTCCTCTCTGGCAAAGCATGAGACTGAGAAAGTCCTTGGTCAGAGTAACAGTACTTAGCAACAACTAAAAACATCGGTGTTATCAGCACTGTTCCCAGACTGAAAGTCAAAAACACAGCACCGCACCAGCTACTAAGAAGGAGAAAAAATGACTGCTGTAGCTGAACCCAGGACACCCTGCCCTACATGCCCAAAACAACCAGCACCTGAAGCAAACCTTCACTTCTGCAGGAAGTTGAGGCTGCATGTCCTACTACTCAAATGCAGACTGCCCAGCTTCAACCACTTCTGATTTATTTTCTACTGTAAACAACTATAGTACATTTACTTCTCTCAAATCAAATGCACAGGTTTAGCCATAGTCATACTTTAGATGCTTAACAATTCATTTGTCATGTCTAAAAAAAAAACATAACGTAAAGTTACAGTACAACAATTCCCAGCTCTAGCAGGTCTATTTTTTCTAGCAAGCAGGGAAAACTTCAGATATGGATTTGGGATTACAAAAGAAGATAATGTAAAACTCTTTTTCTTTTCCAAAGGAAAGTGTAGAGAAACATTTGCATTGTAGTTTACTCCACATTTCAGGCTCTGAACACTGAAATTATAACCAGCAAACACAACTAAAAGAGGCAGTGCTCTGCACAAAGAGCCTAGTTTGCCTAGTGCAGTCACTGATGCTTCCAGAATGAGTGAAATAACAAACAGCTAAGTTGGACATGGTCCTAACTCTCTGAAAAGCACTATTTAATAAAAAACAACAAAGCAAACAAAAACCAAACAAACAAAAACCAAAAACCCACCATAAAACAACCTCCTCCCCACAAAAAACTACTAAAAAAAAATGCCAAAACAAAACAGAACTAAAAACATCAAAGCGAGATAGAAAATTGATTGAACCTCAGTCAAATGCATGCATTCATCTCAAATATGGACAAGATTTTTTTTTTCCCCCCATGAGAAACCACAGAGGCCAATGATTAAATGGTAAAAACCTAAAGTAGAAGCAGCACTACAAATACTAAATTCAACTGCAAGTTACAGAATACTTGTTAAGGTGTATTCTTGCACTCGAACTCCCATCTTGGAACCTGACTTGGCACTTTATCTGGCATGATCAAACTTCAGTTCCATTCCTTATTCCCAATCCTCTAAATTCAAACTGAGCTATTCTTTCTTCCTCCTCACCTGTAAAGCCAGTAGCCAGAGCACTAAGAAACACAGGAAAAAAAATCTCTCCTTTTTGCTAATTTTAGTGTGGCAGCAACTCTGTAATTCTGGAAGACTAACTGCTGAAGTCCTGCTAAGATCTGTCAGATAATCAAATACTTATTTTTTCTACTGAGATGGCATTATTAACAGTCCACTCAACCTAAGTTTTTGTTTAATAAAACACCTAGGATCATAGAATGGTTTGGGTTGAAAGACACCTTAAGATCACCTAGCTCCAACCACCTGCCATGAGCAGGGACACCTTCCACTAGACTAGGTTGCTCAAAGCCCCATCCAACCTGGCCTTCAACACTTCCAGGGACAGGGCACACCTTCTCGGGCACACCTTCTCATGCACACCTTCTCAGGCAACCTGTTCCAGTGTCTCACCACTCTCGCAGTACAGAATTTCTTATATCTAACCTAAACCTCCCCTGTTTAAGTTTGAACCCGCTACCCCTTGTCCTACCACTACAGTCCCTGATGAAGAGCCCATCTCTGGTATCCTTGTAGGCCCCCTTCAGATATTGGAAGGCTGCTATGACAACTCCATGCAGCCTTCTCTTCTCCAGGCTGAATAGAGGATTTACTTGGAAGATTTTGTGTCATAACACCAGCAATCTTGTACAATTTCCACAAGCTTGTAACTTGAGTATGTTTTCAGAAGTCTCTTAATCCTAAACCAACTCTCCTATAAAATAGCAAGTTTCCACAATACAAGGGACACAATTCAGCTTCTCTGTAAGAGACACTTACTCAATTCTACATACATTTTTGTAGATGTCTGTTTTGAATGTATACATACATAAACACACACATACATGTGTCCTTTTTCATGATTAAGAGTTACCTGTGACACAACACATACTCAAAAAATACATACATTCGGGCAACTGTCAGAGAGCCCTCCTTGCAAGAACTTGCATGTTTCACCTAGTCAGACCAGAAAGCATCTTGACAACAAAAACCTCTTTACCTTCCAAGGGCAGACTGCTAATCTCACAAGCCTCCAAGCTAACGATTAAAGCAATGGTTCCTGAGGCAAGAATGACTTGCCCTTGCAGTATAACACTTGGTTGAAAACACAACTGTGATATGCTTCTACAGAGCATGGTTCTCAGTGGGGACCACAATGAGAACCACTAAGCTCAGAGATAAAAATCCAATTCTGTCAGTTTATTTTCAATTTAAAAACTAGAATATTTGCATAACCAACTTCTCATTCAGCAGAGTATCTAACTCTATTGCAAAAGCTAAGACTGGTGACAGGTATTTCTCAATACTTAAAATAACTGTAACTATCTTGCACATAAAAGATATGTATGCATATATGGAAGATAACTTAAATCAAACAAATAAAATACTTACTCCCAAAGCTGGCAATCTTTGTGTGCAGCTGACAGCAACCTTCAGTTTCCAGTCTGTTTCTCCATCAAGCTGGTCAGTTCGAATGAAACACGAACCTTGAAGTTACAAAGAGACAAACTATTCTTTTAATCTCAAAAATTCACTTTGGGTTTAAAAAAAAAAATAGAGTGAAAATAAAGAAATTTATAACCACTTTTAAATAAACATGCTAAATATAAAAGGATTCAGATTTTGCAATGTCTGTGTGCTTTCTTCCAGGAATGCTCCAGATATCGCATAATAGCACAATTTTTCTGATAAAATCAACAATATGTCTGTTTATGAATAAGGGGGAGTGCTAGTTTACAGGTTTCTTCATAGGTTTTTAAACAGATTTCCAAATGTTATGAGCAAGAGACAGAACATACTTCGCTGTCTGGTTTACTTTTTTTTTTTTCCTTTTCAGAACTGTGTCACTCATACAATTCCAATACAATAGAGTAATGAATTGATGCCTGTGATTCTTGTCTCTTGACACCAGAACTTCCACTGCTTATAGTCTTCTGGCTTCTCTGAAACTTTTTTTTTAAAAATAAATCCTTAACATGGACACATTCAAAACAATGTGGGTCCCAATGTATTATACTCTAAAGAAGTAACTGTCAAGGATCCAAGGCTAAAAGAGTCTGTCAACACATGCACGGTACTTACGATACGAGGGAAGCTCATGACAGACTGCTACTGAAGAGAATCAGTGCAGTTTACAGACAGAAAACGAATATTCAAGAAACAGGAAACTGAAACCAGTGCAGAGCCTCCTCCCACCCCAAAAGCTAGCTTAATGGGTATCAGGTCTGAAGTCTTACATAGGTTACTAATGTAAGATACAAAAAAGACTTCACACTAATACTGCAAATACGTTAAAAACATGCAATTAGCTACAACTTCCATCTAGTTTGAAGCCTTTTAAAAAGGTGGTAAAATTTTAGCAATACTCTTCACAATTCATATGCTAAAAAAACCTTAAATATTTCTGAAGTAATCATTAGAAGTGCCATTATGCTACAGCCTAGCAACTGATATGCTATTGTAACTGTGTGCTATGGGTGTGAAATAAAAATAGATTTTTCCAGTTATTTGTACATTTTAAACAATGCATATTAACATACTTGCATATATACCTATAATTCCTTCCATATTTCAACCTATCTGATAAAAACAACAAAGTAGTTTCATCACCAGAAGTAACATGGTGGCAATTAAACTGAAGGAAACAGTGCCAAAGGAGTTTATCCAGGTTTCAGTCTTCTTACACAGACAAGACGATGATGTGCTAGAAGCTTTGAATCTAATAGGCAATACATCAAGAAAGTGTACCTACCAGTGAACACAAAATTAAGAGAGAGATTCTTTTATAGGACATGTGGACCCTGATGTAAGTAAAGTCTAACAGAACCCAATGTTTTATTCATCAAGGCCTGTAAATTAAGCAGTTCAATGACCTAACAGTCTGAAAGGACATGCTTGAGAGAGAAGTCACCTGAAATTATATCTGACTAGAAGGTAGCATTTTTGCACAACAGCCTTGAAAGAAGCTTACTAGCCTTCATGTAACAGATGTATTTATATTAAGTGCATATTAAATAAAAAAAAAAGTCTTTAAATGTTAACATAAACAGCTCTCAGAACATATGATCACAACAAAATTTCACCTAAAGCTCAGAGCTGCGAGCTGTAAGAGCTGTATCTAAAGTTCTTGAGAAGCTGATTTTAAATTCTTGATAGGATTCTTTATGGATTTCTTTTTTTTAAAAAAATAAATACTATAAAGCAGTTTTTGAAGAGCCCAGTGACGTGCACTGCCTTATAATTAAGGGTGAGGTACCTAGGATCACCTAGAAGTACCACAGTTTCAATGCACTTTCTATCCATGGCATAAATGAGCCTACTTTCCATCATACTTTTCCCATACAAGACGTTTCACGGTTCTCTTTACCCTTCCTGTCAATGGTTGCTCTCTTCCATCAATTTCATTTAGAATTATACTATAGATCAATGCAGTTCAAGACCAGTGTGGCTCCTCTGAATGGTTGACTGCACATATATTCATTTAATAGAGCTCACACTATGACATGTATTGGCCAGCTGCATTTCCTCTCCACTTCAGCAGTTAATTTCATCAATAACTTATCTCATAGCCTGTTTCCCTTTTATCCAGAAAAAGGGACTGCTTTCTGCCAAGTCAGCTTTCAATAGTGATCACAACAGCAAAACTGAAATGATACAATCCTCTTCTCTACCTCAAATACTGCAGCACATTTGACTAATTAATTCTAATTACTCTATGAGGTACTGATTTTAAACCCAGCTTAAGTAAACTATAAACATGGGAGATTAAACATATAATTACAAAACATGTATGAAAACAACTCTTCACTCCTTACCAAGCCCTTGGACCTGTAAAAAACTAAACATTCCCCAATATATATTGCATGGAAGTTAGACATACTTTCTTTACTTTTGGAAGGTATTTTGAGTTAGCAGTACACAAAACTTTTGAACAATCAAAATCCTCTAAAAAAACCCAGCTATCGTAACTTTCTATTTTGAAACGCTTGGGAGCATTGCCCCCCTCCCCCCATCACAAAACCAAACAAAAAGTAGTAAAAAAATGTCATTATGTACTTTAATAAAATGCTTTAGGTAAACGTTAAAAATCATTTACATTCTAACCTGAATATAGCATGCCAGGAAAAAACACATCTATACAAATGTCATGAATTGTTTTTCCCTCTGAATTCAGCGATAACTCTTGAATCTGACAATTATTTCAGAGCACACAAATTTTTTTTCAAGTTCTCTACTGCTTAAAGGAAATGTCATTAAGTATCTTAACTATTTACAAAAGCATGGCTGTATATAAAAAAAGAGAGTAATTCATAAGGCTACACATAAAAGGAGAATGAATAATATCAAACCTTTTACTTTACACAGTGATGGCACTCAGATGCTTATTTCCCATAACAATACACAGTCATTCAAGATTAGTGGACAAAGTTGAACATTGTGAAACTGATTTATTTCTGTCTTTATAGTAAAAATTTTGGAGTGCTGTGAATTAGAATTTTAGAGTTGATTTAAAGAAAATACACTGGTCTTAAAGAGTCATTTATCAAAAGTGGTGCCAACGTCACATAAGCACATTTAAACTAATTTACAAGTATGTAATATTCATTTAGCCTAATCAGTTGAAGACAGGCATAAATCAATGTACAGCATAACCATGCAAGGTGCTGCCCAGTAGCAACTAAATTGATTTTTAAAGCTATTTCAGTTTAAATCTGTGAAACCTGTATGCTTAGGGAAGTCCTAGGACTACAATTCTATGCAAAAGCTCAATTATTTGAGGCCTGTCCAGAATTTACTCTAAGATTGCTTTTCTGTGGAAAACCAGCACTTGCAGTAGGAAGAAAACCATTTTAAGAACCTGAAGTAACTATGTAACTTTAAAATACAGGGATACCTTGCTAATTGTTAACAGACTTCTTGTTTATGATTATTTGAGATAACAATAAATCCAATTTTTTGAGATTAAACCCCATTTAAAAAAAAAAGTTATTTTGTATGTTAATAGAATATTGAAAAAAATAACATTTATATCAGCAGCTTTTATGGTGTTCTGAAACAGAAATACAAACACTCATCTATGAAGGCACTGATTTAGGGCCATGATATGCTCGGCCTAGATTTGTCAAACAAATTTGTGCTCAATACAGAATAAGCATGAAGAATCCTACTTACTCAAGTGTGTGCTGGACTTCAGGCTTTAATCACAACATACATGCAGGACACATACATGGCACTACTGGTTTTGTGGGCCCGTGTATTTCTAGAAGTCCTGAAGAAAAAGACCCTCAACAAAAATTTTCAGACTAAACAGAAGCTATACTTGGAAAACACTGGTCACATTTTAGCCTAAAAAAAAAAAAAAAATTGAGCAAGGGAAAAAAAGGACACTCCACCCAAACCAGAAGGGAAGCTTCTTAATGAAGTAAAAAAATCAATTATAGAATAAGCTTTTTCTTAATTAATACTATGCATCATCATTCCTCCCTGCTTTCTTCTTGATCATGAAATCTTCTGACTTTGTTCTGACAAAGAAAAGGTGGGAAAGTATACTAATACTTAAAACACTTCCTTTCCAGGTTTCTTGACTAACAGCAATGTGAAAAATTAGGATCATTTTCCTGCTGTAAGAAACTAAGCTATCTTACTTGCCCTGTATCCAGAACTTAGTTTTCATTTCCTCACTCCCTAGTTCCCATCATGGAAGAAAGATCTGAGAAAGAAGCTCTAAGTCATGAGATGAGACAGAAGAGGAAGGATTTTAAATTAATGGGAAAACCCCCTATGGAATAACTTATTCTAACTAGCATTTAAAAATATTAAAGTGAATGACACATCATTATAAAAATACTTCCACGCTTTTGTCCTTCACTTTTTCTGCTTTTGCTTTGAGCAATCACTTACAGGAGACCTTGTCTTCAACTACACCTATTTAAGCAGCATTTTACAAGTGAGATTATTTTTAAAAAGATCTCCATTTTTAGATTTCACAAGTACATTCAAATCCCTTCCACAGAGCCTGAAGAGTCAGACCACACATAGTATTTGTTACGAATGTCAGCATACACAGTAAAGAATAGTACATAAGAAGCCGAATCAACACTACACAAGTTCTAAAAACTGTATTTAACGTTCTCTTGGATAACGTTGAAATGAACAGATTTCTGCTTCCAATTTTTTGGCCAAATATCAGCCACCTCAAAAAAAAACAAAAACAAAAAATCAAAAACTTGCCAGTAAGCACTAAAGAGAACTTACAGATATAATTCAAATATGCCATTGCACACACATTTTAATGTTATTTGGTGCTGAAGATGCACCAGAGGGAAGCAGCTACAATTTAGTTGTATAGAGCAGATATGCAGGAATATGTGTATTTCACAAGCATATTAAAGGCCAAGCACCCCAGCCTTAAAAAGGTATTGTTTTGTCTGCATAAATGCAGGGTTGAATTCCACACTCTATTATAGACATATCATCAAAAAACTAC